TTTTTTTTTTTTTTTTTTTTTTGACTCTTTTTTTCCCGTGTAATGGGGATGTCAAGGGGGGTTGCCTTTGGAATCCGAAGGATGTCGTTAAGAATTTTCCTTTGAGGATAGTGATATTGTCTGTTTTCACATATGCTTAACTTTTTGGTGAGGGAAGTTGTTTTTTGTTTTGCACGTTTTCTTCTTCCATTGTTGCTGGTTTTGGGTTTGTTGTTTTTAACACTTCGTTGGCAGGGTTTGTATTAGAAATAAAATTGACCAGGATTTATGTGTTTGTTTGATTTGAATTTTCAAATTTAGCCCTAGATATGTTTTCTTAATGGACATGCCAATAGTTGTTGAATACATTTTTATTTTGTAGTTGCCTTTTCCTTTCAAAATTGAGATCTTGTATTTATAACCATCAAATTTCTTTTACGCTGCATAAATGCAGGTCAAGGACTTGTACAGACCTTGGCGTCTTGGAGAAGTTGCTAATAGTTTTAGTCAAGGGTGTAGTCCACCAATTACTCCTACAGTTACAGTTCTTTGCTTTCAATTAGTAGACCTGTGATTTCGCTTTAATAAAGCCAGAGTAAGCATTCTGTAGATTTGAATTGGTAGCACAAATAGAGACTGAGAAGCCTCCTGTAGGAAATATAAAAAGAGCTGCTTCTCTTGGTGAGTAACCATGCAATTGCTTGATATATTTCCGGGTAATATATTTATATGTACGTTGTATATTGCATGTATGGCTACTGTCTTCATGAACTTTCATTTATCTTAGGTCCTCTCTTAATTTGGTTCACATTTTTTTGTGTGATATGCAATGGTCAATTTAATGTTTGCGTTGTGTGCACTTTGATAACATGAAATGGATATCTTGATTTTTTTTTTCTTTGTGTTACTGTCCTTTGTGAAATTTAGAACACTTTTTTCTTTTTTGTTTATGTATTTACAATTTACATTTTCTTGGTATGATGTATCTTTGTTTTGATGTTAAAATTGGATGCTTTATTAGTTTTGTGACAATCCTCCTTTTCTCCTTAAAGACCCATAAAACAAACGACTTTTCTAGCTGTTTCTGAATTGTTTTTAGCTTACTATAAGTATTGTGCTATTGTTGTCAGTAGAAGCATTCTGATCTATTAAATATGCTTAGTGATTTACCTAGTGCTCAAGATGGCTGGTGTGAAACGAAGAATTCATAATGATTCAGATATCCTTGCTTTGCATAAAGAATTGGATGAAGTCTCCTGCCCTATCTGCATGGACCACCCACATAATGCTGTTCTTCTACTTTGCAGCTCTCATCACAAGGGTTGCAAACCTTATATATGTGACACAAGCCATAGGCATTCAAATTGCTTTGACCAATTCAAAAAATTAAGAGAAGAAACTAGGAAGAGTCCACGCTTATCAAGTCCTTCACCTATAAATCCATATAGCTTTAGTAGTCCTACAAACAACCTGGGTCTGAGCATTGATTTGAATGAAGTTGATGATAATCAAAATATAAATGAAAGGAACACTGTTGCATCTGCTGGATTACCTGTTGTAGTTTTAGGGGATAATGGAACTGAAAATTCTAATAGAACTTTAGACTCAAATGAGGCTGGAGATCTGGATACTGTTGGTGCTGGGTCTAATACTGAAAGGGATGAGCAGGAAGGTTTGGGTGCTGTGAACTCATCCGAGTACTCAGATTTGAAGTGCCCCATGTGCCGAGGAGCCGTGCTAGGCTGGGAAGTTATAGAAGAAGCAAGAGAATATCTTAATCTAAAGAAACGAAGTTGCTCCCGTGAAACTTGCTCATTCTCTGGCAACTACCAGGAACTACGCAGGCATGCTAGAAGAGTTCACCCGACAACACGGCCTTCAGTCATAGACCCATCTAGAGAACGGGCATGGAGACGCTTGGAGCGACAGAGAGAAGTTGGTGATGTTGTTAGTGCCATCCGCTCAGCCATGCCTGGTGCCCTTGTGGTTGGAGACTACGTAATTGAAAATGGAGATGGTGGTATGGTGGCAGCTGAAAGAGACAGTGGCACAGGTGATGTCAATGGGCCATTGCTGACTAGTTTCTTTCTGTTTCATATGTTTGGATCGGTTGATGGTGCTCGAGAGCCAAGGCCACGTTCAAGGTCTTGGGTGAGGCATCGACGCTCTGGAGGAGGAACACCCGTACCAGAGCGCCGGTTCCTTTGGGGTGAAAACCTTTTGGGATTACAAGAAGATGCAGATGAGGATTTCCGCATATACATCGGAATGGGCGACGATGCATCACCACCTACGAGAAGGAGACGCGTAACGAGGCCTGAATCTGATACAGATCAACCATGAGAGGATTGGTCTTCTGTGGTAAACATCTATATGCCCTTGAGTTTTGAGGGAGATTTGTTCCAAAATGAAATGGAGTGTGTTTGGTTTCGTGTCTCGGTCTCAATGCCTAAAAACAGGTTAAATTGTTAAACAACCACAGGCGGGCATCCCAGCAATGATCCATCCATCCATCCATCCATCCCATCTTGTTGGGTCGTCTGGAACATCAAGAAATTTGTGCTTCCGAAGTCTCCAAGGGAGGCGTTTAGTTGGCCATCATCTTGATGCAGAATACCCCGCCCAGCAATTGGCCCTCAACAAGAAGCAAGAAGCAGCCGGATAAGAGTAATAAGCGTCATCTTTTGGAAGTGTTCTCAGATGGAATCACAATCCTTTATTTTATCTGAATTTAAGTTCTAAATGATTGCATGATGTCCTTTTCCAATCTTTGTATATAAATGGGATAATGATTTCATTTGATCAATCTAGTGTGATGGTGGTTCTATTTATATGTTATCCTATATTTTATTTAAGTGGTTATGTGTTTTTTTGCTCTTAATAAAATATAAATGGAGTGGTAATTTGTGTAAATTTATGGTTGCAAACTTGGAACCAGATTCATGGTTGCAAATCCGGAACTAGAAGTGGTGTAGTTTGCACAAATTTATGGTTGCAAACCCGGAGTTGATGGATAACAAATACCTATTTTAGTGGTAGCCGCCATTGATGCCCTCTCGAGCTCCCTCTTTTCACCAGTGGCTGAATTTTCCAGCCTCACCTCCTACTCGAAGGACAATCAGTTCTTCGCCTTCGATCTTCTCTCTGATCTCTGGTTCCTCCTCCTTCCTTGGCTCCGACGGCTTCTTCTTCACTACCGCGCCTCACTTCTCTTTCTCTCCGATCTTCAATCCGTCTTGGACCATCACTTCGCCTCTCAGATTCGCACGGATGGATCCTCTCCTCGGAATTTTCCGATCCGGATCCAAGTCGAATCTCCAGTTTACCGTCGTCGAAGGCGTACGACTTCTAGGCGGCCGCCCATTTATCTGTCGAGATTTACGATCCGGACGCTGATTTTTAGGAGCTCTATTCGCCATTGCCCCCGGATTGATCCGGAATCTCCTCGCGCTCTCTCTCTTCCGCTTTGTTCGAAGGTAAGTTCTACGTTCTCGGAAGTTACTCCTTCTTAGTTTCTTGCTTCGATTTACACGATCATGTATGGAGTGAAGTCCAAACTCTTCAACCTCCTGGAGTTGTCTTTTCATTTTTAATTTCTTGCACCGACCGCCTTGTTTCGGCGGGACTCTGTAACTCCCCTGCCGGTCCTTCGTTCGTTCTGTGGAAAATTGATGTGGAGACCATGGAATTCCTCGAGATTTCCGTCATGCCGAGCGATCTGCGTGAGAATGGAAAGGAAATGCGTTGGACAGGAGAACCTGATCTACGTTTTTAGCGAGGATTATGAACTGTGAAATCAGGCGTGAGAATGAAAAGTTTGGTGGAAAAGAGTGCTTCCATTGCCGTCTCCGATGAACAAGCTCAATAAGAGGTCGTTAGCTTCTGTTCCAATGTCAGTGTGCACAACATTCTCGGCCGAGAGGACGAAGAAGATCAACATTATTCCTCATTCTACCATGTCTGAGGTAACTCCATTCCTTCTACTTCGAACTTCAATTTCGATGGTGTTCCTAATTTCTAATTATTTAGGTTATTTGCTATTTGGCTTTCTTTCCTCTTAATTTCTTAATTAATAATAATTTATTGAATTATAAATTTATTTAGTCAAATCTATCAATTTTTAATCAATTTTTTTTTTAAATTCACTAATTTATTATATATAAAATTAAAAATTTGAAGTTGGATTAGATATAAAATTTAAATTTATAACCAAACTAAAAAAAATGAGTTTATAAATATTATTTTTTTTACTTTACCTCTTATAAATATTACTTTTTTTTTTTCCTAAGAAAAAGAAAAAACCTTATTTAGCTTTCCCAATCAACAAAATTTCATAAATCAAATAAATACTAAATTAAAAAACGAGAGATTATTTCATAAATCAAATAGAACAAAATCAAAATGATATTTAAATCAAATACTTTCTAATTTTTTAAATTTAGTCTAAGGATTTGGGCCGATGAGCTGACTTGGTGGCCTACTCACTCAACAAAGAAGCCCTCATCTTGTCCAAATTCATCGGCTCTCCTCAAATCCTTCAGCTCATCGGCCACCTAGTCGCCGCCGAAGACGACGGCAAGTGCAGCGTTTACAATCTGGGTTTGGAGTACGCCGCCGGTGGGTCTTTGGATGACCTTATCAACCAACGCAAGAAGCTGCCGGAGGATGAGCTCAAAGGGTATCTTCGTATGATGCTTACAGGCCTTTCTTGTATTCATTCCAAAGGCTTTGTGCATTGTGATTTCAAACCTTCTAATGTTCTTGTTTTTCCCTCTCAACATGGCAAACCCGATCTCAAAATAGCCGACGAAGATGTATATGAAAGAACAGAGACCAAAGTCGAGTTTTGGTTATAAATTGAGTTTTAGAGGGACGCCTGAATACATGTCTCCCGAGTCTTTTATTGGTGACATTACACCATCCTTACATATTTGGACTCTGGGTTGTGTTTTGATTAATATGGTAGGTGGGGAGAGCGTCTGGGATGGTGAATTTAATGGCAAATACGCGTGTGATGTGTTGAAACTCGTAAACGAGATAAAAACTCCGACCATACCAAGGGAATTCTCCAAAAGTGCTTTCAAAGAGACCCTAAGCAAAGATGGTCTGCAGAAATGTTACTCCAACATCCTTATTTGGTAGAGGAAAACGAAATTACCGAACTGTAGGCTTTCTTCTACAAACAATCATTTTCGTCTCGAGCTATTGATTATAATCCTTTATTGCAAGTTGGGAAAAATGATACCAGCAAACCCTGTAGAGAAGGAAGCTGACACTAAATCGGTCCTTTCATAAAACACGAGAAGGAATGTACATCCCTGCAATCTGCTAATCATCTGCACATTGCATCGACCTTTTGATCGAATATTACACAACAAATGTGCAGCAAGGGAGAGGAAGGAACAAGGGATTGGATCGTACACGAAAATTGGTTTTATCAACAATTCTTCCATTGGGGGTTTCGGGTTGGATTGAATACACATGTACCAACTGCAACATGTTCTTATTCAAACTGAGGGGCCTAACAACTAGTCTTCACCTTCTCAGTTGCTTTCAATTTTAACAGCAGTGGCCTTTCTCGCCGCCCTTCTTTTGACTTGTATTTGGCGAACGCATTCAGCTACTAATACATGGAAATCAGGACGAAGTTTACTAGTCGACGAGACGTTAAGACCTGCCTTTCTTAAATCTCTAGCTAAACACTTTTCGCCTTTTTGTAGATGACCAGGGCAGTAGCAAGGAACAGTAGATCTTAAAACAGGCTTTGAACATAGAAGCGGTCCGGACTGCATACTGCAAATGAAAGCGAATTTCTTGTTAACAAAAAACGCAAAAAAAAAAAAAAAGAAAAAAACATAGTTTCCTCAACACAACACATCTATGCCAACCCATTATACGGAATGTCAATGTACATTGCTTCTAATTCCAGGGAAGGATACAAATACAAAAGACCCCAAATGAAAAATAAAAGCTTAACCAAAGTGTGCGGACATCAACTTTGGATCAATGCAATCAAAAGGTGTGACCATCTAATTCAGCTCAACCATGTTGACTATCTTCCAATTATAAAAAAAATCATTAAACTGTACAGAGGGTATGACAAGGATCACTACAAATATTCGAGAGTTCTTTGGGAAGGAGCATGTGAAATCCCACCTCGGTTGAGGAGGATAATGAAGCATTCTTTACAAGGGTATGGAAACCTCCTCGCAGATGCGTTTCATAAACCTTGAGGGGAAGCCTAAAGGGAAAGCTCAAAGAGGAAATATCGGCTAGCGGTGGGCTTGGGCCGTAATAGAGCAGATCCTAAGGGAGGCTGCATTTCATTAATTAGATTCAACTCACTTACATTGCCCTCATAATTTGGGATTGGGACACAAAAAACAGCCTATAGGCCTTGGGGCAACAAATTTGCTGTAAATATTGTAATAAGCTTGGTTGGTTTCTTACCACATGGTTTTCACTTGGTAAATTCAAGCAGTAGATAGATGATAACCATTGCTCTTTAACTAAGAGGATTGGAAATGGTGCTACATTCTACAATAGGAATTTGGGGAGACTTCAGCATTAGAAAAGCTTTTATACAGCCTTTAACCTTAGGATCTACTCGGACGAGCTCTAGCAAAATTATATCTTAAGACAGTCCAAAGAGAAGAAGAAACTCAAGATACTTATAAATCATCGTATTGATATCAATACTAGACGAGTCTATATTTATGGCTATTGCTTATTAAGTAGAAAACTCATAGTATTACTAAGCAGCGAAAATAATTGATATAGAATGCAAACCTCTTGATTACAAAGGTGCAACCCTTGTAGAGCCTCTGCTTTTTATCCGAGAGGATATGAGCATGACAGTATTTTGTCAATGCCATCGCCTTTGCCTTGCAACCTGTGACATCACACCTTCTAATCTCATCACTCCCGGTCACAGAACCTAATCCTAGCTTTCCGTTCTCCCCAATACCCTCTGGATAATCACCAATGCCCTCAGCCTCCTTCTCGTCCTCCTTAAATGGACTCTTGCCATATGTCCAATAATACTCCCTGTACTTGCGCTTGAGTTCCTCCATTAAAGCCCAGTACAGTTCCCTATATACTCGACAAAGTTGTTTCACTCTCCGGGACCGACGCTCGAGTACTTCTCGACGAGTAAAAAATTCACAAGAGGCTAGAGCTAGATCATGATTCGCCCCATCAATAACCATAGGATGTGGGGGAGCAGGAGGAGATTGAAACGAACCAGGCGAGTTTGATTCTGCCATGACCTACCAAGTTGTCACATTCCAAACGATTATTCCTAATGCAATTTGCAGGGGTGTAGAACAATTCTATAGAAACGAATAACTGCATAATCCACTGATGTTTAAAAAAAAAAAAAAAAAGAATTCTGTTCTCTGATCACCCTATTCTCTTCGTGAAGACTATAGAGCACCAAGACTCAATCAAATGCTTTACTCAATCCCTGAATTCATGTAAAATCAAAATCTATACTAAATTTACTTCAACTACCGGCTGAAAATGAGTGCATATAAGAAAGATACTTTCCAGAATACATAATTCTCAAGTAGAACAATCCAAATAAGCAAAACAACCTTACATAGCAAATTCCTCAATCATCTAAAAATACCTCCTTAACCCAAAAAAAACCAGTCGAAAATAGGTCGGACTTGGCAATATTTTAGATCAAATTTAACCTCCTTTCAATTTTACCCTATTTACGAATTGCTTGAATTGAAGAAAAAAAAATCCATGCAAACTCAGTAACGAGCATGAGAGAGGGAGGGGTTTCGGAAGACAGAGTGGCACCTTAGCGACGAGCAGAAAATTCAGTGGGCAGTCGGCGACGAGAAGAAGAAGACTGAGCAGTCGTGCCGGTGAGGTTGGGGCAGAGAGGGAGATAAGGAGAGAAGGAAGAAACAGACGTTACCGATGGAGGGCGACAGCGTGCGACTGCAGCGAAGAGGGAAAAACAAACCGGTGCTGGTAACTGTGTGGCGGCGGCAACGGGAGGGAGAAGCAAGATAAGGGGCGCAGAATGTAGGGTTTCTTTTTTCTTTCTTCTTTTTTTATACAATAATTTTAAAAAATCATATATATATATATATATATATAATAATAATTTTTGTTTCTTATTTTTTTAAAAAAATTATAATTATTTCCTCATTTCTTTTAAAATTAAAATGTACATATAATATAATAAATATATAACACGGATTAAAGTAATATTTAATTAGCTAAGTCGTCCTTGTTATTGCCGCTCCCAACGTGACTGAACCAGAGAATCTACTTTGAACCCAATAGCCACCGCCCAATCGGATTTATCCTCTTCGCTGCCTTTAATCCCTCAACCATGCCTGCTATTTCGAACAATTTGATGCTCCAGCTACTTTGAACGCTACTTTACCCACCTGTTTCAATTCGTCTTTCCCGATAGCTGCATCTCCCGGTGCTACATTCTTCCTCTCATCGCGCATTAAGTCTCCTCATTGTCTCTTGATTAAGCTTTGTTTGTTCCTTGAATTAATTTCTAGTATCTGGGTGTTGTTGCTATTTACCTTTCCTGATTGCTCTTAATCTTAATTTTTCTCTCTCGTTCCAATTTTTTGGTTGAAGATCTATGGCGTTAGTATGTTTTAACTTTTGTAGGTTTTAATTGCTGTAATCCGTGTAATCGTATGTTAATGCACCTCTTTCTCTGTTTCTTGTTATCTATCGTATTCTGCTATAACTTGTGATTTTGGGGTGTTTTTGTTTTGTTTTTTAGTTTTTGCAAGCTAGTTTATGATCTGTGGAACATGTAAAGATATGAAGAGTTGCATTATATATGTGTGAATAGTTAAAAAAAAAGTTTAATTAGACAACCCTAGGGTGTGTATGAAGCTTGTTTGGTTTCTTTAACTAAATTTGTTTAGGCGGATTGCAGGAGAAGGAGGATGAGCTATCTTTTAAGGACCTTAACAACGAAGAGAGAAGTGGATTCCATCATTAGGGACACTATTGATAAGGTTCTCATTCTCCGATTTGGGCGGTGTTCCGATTCAGTTTGTCTCCTCCTCGATGATATTGTGTGTTACCAATTCCCTGAATTTTGTTTTCATCTTTCACGATTGATATGCTTTTTCAGAATTTATGATTTTGTTTTCCTTATGTTTCACTCTTTCGATGATTAAGCTTGCTAAGTGCGCTCGAGAAGTGTCGAAGTTTGCTTCAATAGCACTGGTTGATATTGATTCAGAAGAAATACAGGTTTACATCAAGTACTTTGACATAACTCTTATACCGTCCACTGTTTTCTTCTTCAATGCTCATCATATGAAGATGGATTCAGGGTGAGTTTTATCCTGCTGGTCTTAGTTAATTTATTGCTTGATTTCTGTTCAAATATGTTTAGTAACATTGCATATGGTTGATCTGTGCGGCCTTAGCTACTGGATTTGTCACAGTAGAGCACTTAACATCCCTTGGGATTATTAACAAATAGTTGCTGTTGAAATGAGAAGAAAGAGTATTTATTTTTATTGGAATAAGAAAAGCAACAATTGGTTATCTTTGGGAGGATGCGTTATCTGCTCAATAACTTATCGCATCTCTTATTGCCAATTGAAGTATTTGCTTCTTATTACACACAAAATGAACCTCTAAGAGTCTACTCTAGAGGATGCTTAGATTATCGTCGTTTTATCAAGTTTAATTGTTTCCTCAATACTTCATGTTTATGGTGAAGACAACTCTGAGTAAATTTAAAAGCTATAATGTGGTACAGTGTATAATAGAATGTTTTCTTGTAGCTGTTAATTTTTGTGTTGTTTCTACACGTTTTGTTGTCGTAGTATTCTTCTAATGTTTTTATATTCAATTATAATTCATGAAACAAAAATTAGAAACATGAGCAACTTGGGTTGGCTTAGTTGTGAAAGGAACAAGCTATTAGTCCCCAAATGTCTTAGAGATTATTAGTTCAACCTATTTTGACCAGACCATCTACTTAGGATATATGATATCAAGTTTTCTAATACCGTATGTTTGTTAGATCAGATAGTTACTCCATCATATGAGTTTTGAGGTGTGAGTGAGCTAGTCCCTCTTGGCAGATCTCACGGTACATAATAAGGCCTTTCTTAAAGTGTTTATATTGTCATTTATAGAACTAAATGTCCTGAAAATCAATATTTTTATTTGGTATTTGATTTAAGTGGGCTGAAGACAAGCTTCAAATAAGTAATTTGCAATTTGCTGTTTCTCCTACTTGTTGCACGTTGCTAAGGAGCAAGGAGAATTATGCAAATGACCTCTTTATTTAACTCTCTTCCGTTAGGTTCTAATACCCGGTTGGCATATTTGCTTAACACCTGCCCTTCCGGTGGTTCTTCCTTTAAAGCTAAAATATTATGGATTAATCTTATTTGTGCTCTTTTGGGGACTTCCGATTAGATTCATTAGAAAATCACTGAATTTTTCGTGAGGAAGAGAGATCTTCCAGTTTTGAGGGTATTACTATCTTAATTCCTTTGAACTGAAGTATTCTCTTGAAAGTCTTGTACAATCTTGTTTATTTTCCATCAATTAAAGAGTTATTTTTCTTATTGAGTATTTTGGTTTAGGAATATCTAATTATTCCTCCTATGTATTATTCTCCGTTTTTTTTTTTTTAATGATGAAAGGGTATTCTTTTGACATGCAGGACTGCAGATCATACGAAGTGGATTGGTGCTTTTCACGAAAAGCAGGATTTTATTGATGTTGTGGAGGTAAGTGTAAGGCAATTCTTGAAACCTTTTCACATTCATGTCACGTCGAGGTACTGCAGAGTCCTCTATTTTCGGAACATAAACGAGAAGCTACAGATTGTTGAATTTTGGTGATTGGGTAGTACTGCTCTGGATTTATTTCAGGAAATTTGGTACATTGAACACACTGAGCAATTATATTGGTCTTTCACTAAATATAAGCTGTTTTATCATTCAAATTTCATGTCAGATCAGATAACGTGTAATTTGATTATCATGTATGCATTGTTTTGGAAACGGACTTGAAAACATTCTCCCTTTTCTCTTATGGCAGGCAATATTTAGGGGAGCTATGAAAGGCAAGCTCATTGTGAGTTGTCCATTGCCTCCTGAGCGAATTCCAAAATACCAGTTATTATACAAGGACGTGTAGGAGACGAATTGGCACCAAAAGGTTCTACTGAATTCTCCTGCCTCCTAGTTTATATTTAACTAGTTGTTTGATCGGATCAGTTGATCTCGTGAAGTCCAATTCGGGTGAATTTCAGTCGAGTTGCCATAGCTAAGAATGCCTTTTATTAATCGAGATTCTGCGAAGAATGTTGCCAAAATCTCATCAACAAAAATAGAAAATGTTTTCGTCGCTTGGAAGCAATGGAATAATGAATGGTTCAAAGAGGTGTCTTTTTCTTCTGTGATTCACATAGTTATTATGTATCTACATCACGTCTTTCTATTATTTGGTGTATTGTGGTGTGAGAACTGACTTGTTGATATCAACCATGAAGCCCTTTGAGCAGGTCCCAGCTTCCAAGTTGTGGATATTAGCTGGGTCATGAGTCTGAGCATGGAGGTTAGTTTCTTATTTTAAGCATCCAATATGAATTGCATCATCCCAGTAATCAACAAGAAATGATGTCAATAAATACTCTGACTAGATGAAAATCAGTAGTACTTGTTTAAAATATACTTAATCTTTTACTATATTCATTAGTAGAAGGGAAAAAAAATGTAGCGTTTAGCGTTTAGGGTTTAGCGTTTATGGTAAGAGCATCTTTTAACCTAATTTTTTAAAGTTTCGGGATAATTTTAAAATGAGGTGTTTGTATATTGATAAATTAAATAAAATTTAACGAACATAACTACTAAAACCACATTACTGCTTAATCTAAAGTAATTAAGTACATAAAAGCGCACGAACAAACTATTCTATCAAGCTTAAAAGGTCATTTTTGCATTTCCAACAAATATTATCTTATCTATCCAATGTATTAAGCGCCGATGATGTTTTAACGAAAATGTCGTCGTTTGATATTTTTGAAAAATCTATAAATAAAAAAAAATTAATTTTTTTTAATAAATAAATTAAAATGTCTTATTATTAAATATTGGGTCAGGGCTTGTTACTTTTTTTTGGTAGATATACAAATAACATATATATTAAAAATACAATACTTTTTTTTTTTATATAGTTTTAAAAATAATATTATTTTAATAAAATGTAAAAATAAAAATAAAATATAATACCAAAAAAATCTCCATGGAGCCGCAGGTTACGTAGAATGATATTATTGTAGATAATGTCCGCGGGATTATCAAAGACCATTGTCGAAATTGGCAACATCAGAAACACGATTCTGGGAAGAACTCCACGAACCAAGGCAAGCCAGGCCACTGAATCCTCCCACCATTGGTTGCTCATCATCTTCCTCTCTGTTCATTTCTCAACCCAATACCCAAAGCTAAATTTGACGACAACTTCCCATGAATTCCGTATTTTACAACTCAAATGGGATCGTCAATTTTTCAGCTCAACCATCATCAGTCCTCCCAAGATCAATAACATCATGCAAAACAGCCAGAGACTTGAAGCAACTCCACGCTGTTTTCATTAAAACTGGTCAAATTCAAGACCCTCTTACGGCCGCTGAAGTGATCAGATTCTGCGCATTTTCTTCGCAACGCAATATCGATTATGCCCGCTCGGTCTTCCATCAGATGCCGGAACCCAATTGCTTCTGTTGGAACACCATTTTGAGAGTTCTTGCTGAGAGCAACAACGAACATCACCAATCGGAGGCTTTGATGCTCTTTCGCGGGATGTTGTGCGATGGGCGTGTGAAGCCCAATCGGTTCACTTTCCCCTCCGTGTTGAAGGCCTGCGCTAGAGCTTCGAGGCTTCGAGAGGGGAAACAGGTACATGGGTTGATTGTGAAGTTTGGGTTTGATGGGGATGAGTTTGTAATTAGTAATCTCGTTCGGATGTATGTTATGTGTGCGCTCATGGAAGATGCGTATTCTCTGTTTTGTAAGAGTGTTGTTGATTTTGATGGGTCTTGTCAAATGGAAGTAGATAAGAGGAGACAAGATGGGAATGTTGTTTTGTGGAATATAATGATTGATGGCCATGTTAGACTCGGGGATTTCAGAAGTGCTAGAAACCTGTTCGACGAAATGCCTCAAAGAAGTGTGGTATCGTGGAATGTGATGATATCGGGTTATGCACAAAATGGGCATTTCATAGAGGCCATAAACATGTTTCAAGAAATGCAAATTTCCAATATTGATCCAAACTATGTGACTTTGGTGAGTGTTTTGCCTGCCATTTCACGAATTGGTGCACTAGAATTGGGGAAATGGATCCATTTGTATGCAGGAAAGAATAAGATTGAGATCGATGATGTGCTTGGTTCTGCCCTGGTGGACATGTATTCCAAATGTGGGAGCATTGAGAAGGCACTTCAGGTCTTTGAGAGGCTGCCTCAGAGAAATGCCATTACTTGGAATGCCATAATCAGTGCATTTGCGATGCATGGTAGCGCAGAGGATGCAATCAATTACTTCCATTTGATGGAAAAAGCTGGTGTGACACCCAATGATGTTGCTTATATTGGAATTTTGAGTGCCTGCAGCCATGCGGGGCTTGTGGAAGAGGGTAGATCATTCTTCAGCCACATGGTTAAGGTGGTTGGTTTACAGCCAAGAATTGAACACTATGGATGCATGGTCGATTTACTAGGCCGTGCTGGACGTTTGGAAGAGGCTGAGGCACTTATCAAAAACATGCCAATGGCACCAGATGATGTAATATGGAAAGCTTTGCTTGGTGCTTGTAAGATGCACAAGAACATAGAGATGGGTGAGCGTGTGGCTGAGATTTTAATGGAGTTGGCTCCTCATGACAGTGGATCCTATGTTGCTCTGTCAAATATGTATGCTTCATTGGGAAATTGGGAGGCAGTTGCAGGGGTGAGGATGAAGATGAAAGGGATGGACATTAGAAAAGACCCTGGGTGTAGTTGGGTTGAGATCCATGGAATAATCCACGAGTTTCTCGTAGAAGACGATTCCCATCCTAGAGCCAAAGAAATCCAGGCCATGTTGGAAGAAATGTCCACGAAGTTAAGGTTGAATGGCTACAGACCAAACACCTTAGAAGTGTTTCTCAATGCGGATGAAGAACACAAGGCAAGGGCCTTGCAGTATCACAGTGAGAAGATTGCAGTTGCCTTTGGATTAATCAGTACAGCCCCACAATATCCACTTAAGATTGTTAAGAACCTACGTATATGTGAAGATTGTCATGCTTCATTAAAGCTCATCTCCTTGATTTACAAGCGTCGAATCATCGTGCGGGACAGAAAACGATTCCATCATTTTGACCATGGCTCATGTTCATGTATGGATTATTGGTAACTTCTCAAAGGCAAATGACCATCGTCTTTTGCACAGAACTGTAGAAGATCGAGTAGTCATTGTGAAGATCATAAGGAAAAGTCGGTCCATTCTTCTCTGTCATCTGTCTCATGGAATGATTTATTTATTCACCGAATTGTCATCTGTCTAATGGCTCACCCCAACAAATCATCAAAAGTGTCTCTCGTGCTTACATGATACTGCACTATCTCTGCAAGAGATTGAGCGGCTGAAACTTTATTTTTCTCTGAGGCTACTGGCTATCTATAGCTCTAGGGAATTTTTGCTCAATGAGGACTGAATCAGCCCTCATCCCGAAGTTCACTTCGAACCTAGATTGGCAGACAAAAGTGAACCTCATTGAAAAATTCTTGTTTTTTGCTTCATGTTGTTTATCATAGCTGAATTACTTACTGTACATGCTATTCCTCGACACTTTTCTTTGAGTACTGATAATTCTGCATCAATTTCAATCTCATCAAATAGGTAATGGGGATGCTTCCATCATGCTGAACAAAATCTATCAAAAGGAAAATTGTGTTGCTGATTTCTGAAATGAAGGGAAGCACAAAAGCTGTGGGAAAAACTTTTTAGCAAAGTGAAAGCAACAAGCATGAAGTTTCGGCATCATTATTCAGGTTAGAAAACTTGTTCCTGAATTGAGACATGTTGATAATTGTCTTGTCTTCTTTCTGATTCATACTAGATTTTGATTGGCTGGAAAGTTTTTGCTTGGTTTTAGTTTTAAGCTGGGACACAAAAACAGGATAGCCTATATGATACACTCGAAGAATTATTCTTCCTTCTTTGCTCATTAAGATGCTTCTTACATGGAAAAGTTTTGCCATAATGAAAACCCCTTTTGTTAATACTTTTTTGGGCCAGTCAAATTATGGTTTGGCTATACGAAAAAGGTGATGATGAGCTCTCACTTTGAATTCAAAAGCCCTTGTTTCAACGGCCTATTCTTTTCTTTCTTTTTTTGTTTTTCTATACTATTTTGAAGAATATGTATTTTTTTTTTATGAGATTTACTCATCTTTTAACTAAGTTTCAAAAATAGAAAAGAACTTTGCAGATTAAAGTAATAAAAATGAAAGTTGATTTGAAATTATTTGTTGGACTTAAAAGTTAGATAAGTTGGGAATAAATTATTGAACTCCCCTATAATGGGTAGTCCTTTAGACCCTCTTTATGACCTATTGTTTCAATCATTTTGATTTATATTTAAACCTTATTTTAAAATTTAAATTTTGGCACTTATAAACTTCTCAAACATATTCATGCCTTTATATATATATATATATATATATATATATATATATATATATATATTTTTTTTTTTTTTTTTT